CGAACTGATTTTCTCCATTTCCTCACAAACTTGCTCTGCTCCCCAAGTTGTCGCCAGGACTCCTTATTTCTTTTGGAGGCTTCATAAAATCGGCCACCAAATTCGAGAATAATAGTCCAAAATGAAATCAGACCAGCTTCCATCAAAATCAGGACAAGTCGCAGAATTCCAAGGGTACCCCAGTAGTTTAACAACATCCAGTTGCTAAATAAGGAGAATTGCATCACGATCGACTGAAATGGGATAAATGTAGGGCCAAAAATGGGCATGTAGTAGTTGTGAAGCTGTTCAAACTTGCGATATTCTAACGGCAGGACGTCCTCAGTCCGGAATTCGGGCAGAGATATAAATTTCCCGGATTTTGGATTGACGCAGAATTCCGTATGAAATGGATACGTGAATGCTAGTGAAATAAAAAAGTAAAATCGTTGTTATGAATTACATATTTTTATAATCTGTAAAGCCGTAAAAAATCATTTAATTTTTCCTTACCCACTTGAAACGTAATAACGCTACAAACCGTTACAACTACGACGGAGGAAATGGTTATAAAATAAGCTTCCGTTAGGTAATTAGCCCACATCATGGGAGTATTCCAGTATTTCTTTGGGACCAGCGAAATCCAATTGCTTGGCAATATTTCGTGCAAAACTACCGCGCTCGATGTGACAAACGAGCTAACGATCCCTACCAGGAGAAATAGACACCAAAATCAAGTGAGTTTGATAGGCCCGAAATTCTTCTCGGGTCGTAAAAGAACACCATTTGGATTCGATGTACTTTGCATATCGCAAAACTCTTGTTAAGCTGCGCGCAATTACGTCTCCTCGGACTGACAAGAGGAGAAAGCAAATGATCGGAATTATCTGGCACATTGTGACAATGTAGATCATGTTGAAGGTAAAGATTTCTCCAGATTTTGAATATTTCGTTAGCTTTCTAAAGTCATAAAGACAGAAAATGCTGAATAATATTTGCACTGTGGACAATACTGTGGTCAATCGGCAAAAGAGACGAGTCCATTTCGTGGAATAGAAGCGTTTTGAGGAGATTTCGAACCTAATTGGGGACCCGCCCAGGTAGGAGGAAACTCCTAGAATTACGTAAATTAGGAGAACAGCTCTTTTCGAGTACATGATCTTTGTCTGGAGTATGGATCGTAACTGGAGTCTGGACTTGTGGATTTTTATATGTACTTGGGGATTTTGACTGTCAGTCTAGGATATACTGTTGGTTCTACTTTTAAAATGGGATAAACGTTGAGTAATATATATTATGTATGTACCTATGTTTTATCATGCTCAACAATTATTCTTAATTTTTGCAACAGTGCAAAGTTGTTTGGCTGCGTAATTATGATTTGTCATGGAATTTATACATTTATATCACGGGAGCAAGGTGAAACAGTTTAATTATTTCTGTCCAAATATTAACTTGATTCCAGGACCAGCTAATCGTCATGGCCGACATTATTTTTTTTACCAATTTTCACAATTTTAATGTCTGGTTGGATGAAATTTGAAATCGTGGAAGGGGAATAATGCTCGAGATTTTTTAAAATAGCCCATAATTTTGTGACCTAATTGGAGCTCTATTTATAATAACGATTCAACTTACTTAGACAATACTTAAGTTTTGGTGGAACAGAGCAAAAGTTTTTATTGGCAGTGTGCAAATATTATCCCAGAATTTAAAATTGGTGTTTTGTTCATAATTAGAAGAAAAACCAAATCGTGAAATAATTAATGTCGTTATTGCAACCTTCCAAAGTTTGGGAAAAATTTAATTGGCCCGACCTTGCTACATCCACTATACAATAACTGTCACTGAGGAAATTACCTAAAATCAAATGGCTTTGGGGTTTGAAGATGAAAGTCATGCAAACGTCCCTCATCTTATCTCAAAAAAAATGTTGGGCTGCTTGTAAGAATAAATACTCCCAGCTTTGTGAAATAGTCCATACTTTAAGAAAATTTTTGTTCCAGTGACAGAAAATGAGGAGCAATATAATTAATAAAAAACATAAAATTATATAAAATATCCTTTCGGTACGATGTTGATTGCATAATTACACCTAAATACTAGTAACCAATTAAAATTTTCAACCAGATTCCAACCTTTTTTAGTATTTGAAGGAAAACAGGAAAAATCCTCTTTTTAACATTGGTCGGTATAGGGAAAATTCCGAAATTTCAGAAGGAAAATGTCGTAAAAAATATTATTTTTAGTTACCATCGAATTCGCCACAAAATACCGTAGAAATATTTGTTTTTTAAATAACTTTTGGTTACAGGCTAATTTTTGAAAATTTCTGGAAATAACTATACAAATGTGCGTACTTCGTCGTTAAGAGGTTAATAATCTCCATATTTCAGGTCAAGACCAACAGTTTACATTTCACATTTGTAAGCGTTTATTGGCATAGATGAAAGACATGAGGATTGAAATAGATACAAATATAAATCGCATAAAAATAATGAGCACAATCTTGACTATATAAAACTATAAATCCCCCCAAAAATAAATTCTGGCATCTTTCCACTTTGCCACAATCAGGGTCATCAACTTTTACCCTCTGTTCCACCCTTAATTTTGTGCGTATTTCTTAAATGCTGGGCTAGATATCCGCTGTGAGCGAAGGCTTTTCCACAGCCTTCCACCTCACAGGGGAAGGGCCGTTCCGTGGACTGAACGCACGTGGACATCAAGGTCACCCTTTTGCGTGAACCCTTTCCCGCAGTCTGCGCACGTGTGCCGGATCGGGGCAACGTAGTCGGGCGTGTGCAGGCTTCGCACGTGATCGTTTAACCGGTCACGTGTCCTGGAGGCGTAGGCGCAGTGGGCGCAGGGAAAGGGGCGCTCGTCCGTGTGCGTCCTGGAGTGCCGACGGAGCTCCACTTTAGTCAGGAAAGAATTGCCGCAGGTCTGTGTACAAAAATTTGAAAAAAGTAGTTAATCTTTGCGTGGAAAGGGAACGTTTTTGAAATTTGTAACGCGAATAAGGGTGCGATTGGTACTTTTGTTTGTCCAAAAAATTGAGACATAAGTCCTTAAATTTTACATGTAGGTACATTTCAAAAAATAAATGAATCGAAACAAAGTTTTTAAAAAAATTGAAAACTATTTTTAGTTTAAAAAATTTAATCTTTTTGTACACACTTCAGCCAGATAGCCTCTCAGATTTTTGTGTTCCTATTTTTTCTGAACGAACGTTATTAAAAATGGATTTTTTCCTAAATTTTTAACTACACCTTTTTCCAAGTAACTTTTAAGTTTGTTGGATCAAAAAAGTGCCTCCAATAAAAAAAATTCATTCACTAATTTAAAAAAAAAATTGTAGGGAATCTCGGAAAATGGTGATTTTCTAAAATTTTGTCATAATTTTTAGCAACTCTCGTCACTCTTGCAGGTTTTCTCACCACGGTGCGCCATCATGTGACGTTTGAATCCTGCCGCGGATGTTAACTTGGTCCCACTAAATAAATATTTATATTCCACGTGTTTGCATAGTTTTTTTGGCAGAAATAGAACAAATTTATGGAAGAAGATGATTACCACAGGTCGCAAACCCACGCGTCCGCGCCATGCTGCTTGATCTGGTGCGCCTGTAATTGTTTGGGGAATACAAACTTTTCTCCGCACGTGGAGCACACGAGGCGCTTGGACTCGTCGTGCGTTTTGAGGTGGTTCCGGAAACTTGCGAGGAGGCGGAAAGTCTTGTCGCAAATGAGGCACACGTGCTCCTGCAGGAAAACAAAGAGAGTAGGATTTAGGGGAAGAAGAAGAGCTAAATTATACCAGGCTTTATTTAGCCGATCTGGAGTCAAATTTAGCGCCGTAAGCTAAATCGAGCTCTGAAGAAGAGAAAAATTTAGCTAAAAATGGGGACGCGAACCATGTTCAGCCCAGATTATTTTTTAAACTTTAAGCTCGAAGGAGCATTTATGTTATGAGGGACTTGCGCAGATGCGAAAAATTATGTAGGCTAGTTTTTTTGGGCGCTGCAAGTTCGCAGTAACGCTCGGCTTTCTAGCGGAGTGGCGTTGAATGTTTTCGCGAACTCACGGCGCTCAAAATTTGCCTAATTTTTCGCATCTGCCATTGAAGGGTTAAGATTTTGTTTAACCTTTTCCTTCGTAAGAGAATTCTCAAAAATATCCCGTTGCTGCGGAATAGCAACGCCTCGCAACCACAGCTTGGCGTAGCAATTTTTTAATTACCAAACTTTATCACGGAGCAAATGTAAATTTTAGTGATATGTTCCATGGATATAATTCCAAAATTATTCAACTTTCTGTGGAGGCATTTCATTTCAAAAATGACGTAATCATGGAGACATTTCAGCCCGACCCAGGACTTATGTACCCGTGTTGTCCATCCGTCTGTCTTGCGTCTTGCCCTTCGTGAAACTTATTCTATCAACTTGAAATTTTGGAAAATTAAAAATGGCAAAGTAATAGTAAAAATTTAAAGTCGATAGGATAGATTTACGAGAGTTATTGATAACCAGGCAGGCAGAGACACACCGGACAAAACAGGTACATGCATACATACATAGCCCCTGACTCGGGCTAAAAATCGAATTTTTTTCAAAATGCGTAAATCCATGGAAAAAATATTTTTTCAATGAGAGGAAATATCCTTCACTACGCAATAAAGTCAATGACCAGAGGAAAGGATATTTCCTTCTTTCCGTACCTATGCCGAATTTTGAGACAACGGATAAATCCGTTGCTCCGTCGCAACGCCTTAGAAATTAGGATGGAAATATCCTCTGTTCCGTCACAACACGTTTATGACGACGGATATTTCCATTGTTCCGCAGCAACGTTCGAAATTCGGCGACGGATATATCCATCGTTACGAAGGAAAGGGTTAATTTGTACTTAACAACTATTAATTATAGATCAAATTTAACGTTTTTAAGGTATGGCGCTAGATTTAACTTGTGGCGCTGAATTTAGCTCCAGACGGGATAAATACTTAAAGCCGGGCAGAATTTAGTTCTTCCGGCCCAAAGCCTCAGCCACCTTGTTTCCCTGCCCGTCCTGCTTGGTTTCGGTATGAGCGAGGGCCACGTGCCGGGAGAGGGCGTACCGATCGAAGAAGGATTCCTCACAGTGGTCACATTTGACTCGTTTTTCGCCCGTGTGGCGGCGCATGTGGGCGCGGAGCGTGTATTTTGCGAAGTACTCTTTTCCGCAGTGCGGGCACGTGTAGCGGACGGCCTCGTGGATCTTGCTGACGTGGGATTCTAACTCCCTCCTGGCTTTAAAAGAATCCTCGCACTGGTCGCAGGGAAATGGGCGCTCGTCCGTGTGCCTTCTTTTGTGCTGGAGTAGCCGCGCTTTAGTGACGGCGCGGTAGTCGCAGGTCTGCAAAATTTGAAAAAAATGTTATAAAGCAGATATAAATTAATTGTAAAAACCATGTACAAAATTGGATGTAATTTGTTAAAAATTGGACATGTTGGCAAATATGCAACGGTTTAGTTGTAGTCGATGCAAAAAATATGTTCATTTTTATGACAAGGGGCCGTGCATAAATTACGTGAGACGAAAGTCGCGATTTTGTACACCGCCATCTTCCCCTCTTGTGTTACGTAATTTATTAACGACTCCCACTTAGAACACAACTTGAAGTGAAAAACTGAATAGAGTTGAGAATAACTTAAATTCTTAAATCAGGAACTTTTTTAAAGGGTAAAATTGCAATTTCCCAAATTTCTGTGTAACTCACGTCGCATTTGTGTGGTTTCTCGCCACGATGCGTCATCACGTGGAGTTTGAGGGTAGTCGCAGTTTTTAAGGTTTTCCCGCTAAAATAAAATTCATCAATTAAAAAAATTAACGTCAAGCATGAAAATGTAGAAGAAAAAACTAACCACTCCTCGCAAATGAAGGGGTCGCCCGGGTCAGCACCATGGTCCTTGATCCGGTGCGCTCTTAGCTGGTTGTGGTACACAAACTTTTCTCCGCACGTGGCGCAGGCGTAGTTTTTGATATCGTCGTGCCGCCGGACGTGCCCCTTGAAGGACTCGACGCGCCCGAAACTCTTTCCGCAAACGGGGCAGACGTGGCGGGTTTTGGTGTGGACGCGCGCCACGTGACTGGACAGGAGCGCCGTGTCGATAAAGGATTCCTCGCAGAGGTCACATTTCGCAATTTTTTCACGCGTGTGGCGGTAGCGGATGTGTCTGAAAGGAAAAAGGAAAAGTGTTAGCTGCTAATTATTATTTTTAATTGTTGTTTTGTTAATTGGAAAAATATATTATTGAAAATCATTATTTTTCAAATTATCATTTAAAAAATTTGAAGGAAAATTTAGACTTTTCCTTTATTTTTTAAAAATTAATTAAGTAATTTATTTGCATTTGTTTTTTATTACAAAACGTGACAAGTGACAACAAATCGCAGCCTCACTATTTATTCCACTACGTTAGGAATTAGTCACCATGTGGTTACACTAATTTCTGCGAAATTATTATTTTTTAATTTTTATCACGTGGTAACAGTTTTTTTCAAGTAAAGTAATAAATTTTAATTTCCGAATTAAGGATTCCCGAGTAAAAATGTGTGTGGCAGATTGTACATAATTTGACAAAACCATTATGCTTAATATTTTACGAATAAAATTGTCTGGCGGTTTACGCAGAAAGCAGGTAGGCGGCTTTGTCGAAAAAAATATGTATAGAGGTCCATGACGTTTTATGCATGGCATATAAGCCCAAAAAAATATGCATAAATTTGTTCCCCTTTTATGAGTAAAATTTTTGCCATAATTCTTAATGCTAAACAACTGTGTCGAAAAACATTATTTTTTCTACAAGGTTCTACTTTATTCCAACTCTACATTATTCATCATTCGTGTTAACGAGCGTAATTCACCACCAACATCATACAAGCATATAAATTTCCAGAGATCAATTTTATCCATTGGCAATATTCTAAGATTGTTGCTCACGGCCTGAACTTGAAAAGAATCCAGTGATAGCTTCGAGGGTATTGTGCTGCACTTCTTCAAAAACATTAACGGGTGTATACATTCACTAAGTAATATTATCTTATATATAACAAAAAACTGGTCACCACTTCGAATTACTGAATTAACCCCTTTTTTGGTATCCCTTTGAGCCGTGTTAAAATACTTTCCTGCTATTAAACATGAGTTATACGAAATTCCTTGTGTTTCTAAATATCCCAATCGTGACATTTTATTTCTTTCATTATTACTAAAGATATACAATTTTCCAGTCCCAAACACAGTGCAACAACCAGGGGTGAATGACTTCTTGAAATGCTTGATATTTTCTGTGAACGACAAGTGAAGCGATTTTGCTTCCGAATTTCTAAAGCTACATTCAGCCGTCGAGAGCAAACGCTGAGTAACCACTATTCGTTTCACGATTTGCATTCCGACTTGTCTTGTTCCGCAGAAGCTATTAGTCAGAACACCGTTGAAGTTTTCAAATTGAAACAACGAGTAACTCCAAAGCGGACCCCAATTTTGTACACATTCCGCTGCATGAAGCAACAAATGGGCATTGAACGAGCAAAATCGGTCGCCATACAAATCAGGGATCGAAAAGCAGAATTTTTTGAGCAACTTCTTAGGTATTTCGGTATCGGTCACAATATCTTGGCAAAGAAGATATACTGCGTTCACCAGTTTTGAAAAATGTTTGAGATAACAACTTGGCAGGTTTCCTTTCAATAAATAGGTAGCCGTTAGCATCCATAATTTCCACTCACTTGCTTTCCAATATTTCATTTCACTTGTCTCCCGAAGATGCCTTCTACAGTTTTGGGGAAATTTTAGGGACAAGATCATATTATTTACTTCTGTATACTTGTTGCCAATATAGAATGGTTCCAGATGATTTTTAGAATCCATCCAAGCGTATGTGAACGATCTGACAACTCCCAATAAAACTGTGTGCATGTAATCGAACACGAATCCCCAAACGATGTCAAATTTTGGCACGAGCAGTAATTTCTAGGGTTGCCGCGGGTAGTGAAAATGCTACCCGTTACCCGACCCGCTACCTGCAGTCCAAGTACCCGTACCCGCACGGGTACCTGTGCGGGTACCCGTTACCTGTTACCCGTTATGAGAATGAAGTTAAAAACTAACTGAGGTCCAAAATAAAATCGATTTTATTAATTATTTGCTCTTTTCCGATTGATAAGCACTTTTAGATAATGCATTAATACATGCCGTAATAAGCTAGATGTCATTACCACCAAGCTTTTGCTTTAGCCCGATTTGCTGATATTTTGATTTAAATGACGTCCTTATTACGTAAAAAAAATCGTCTATAGACAAAATTTTTGCTATCAATTGGATTTAACTTTTCGGTTATCACATGATGTGATTCACATCACATATTAAGAGATTGTCAGTCAGCCTAAATGCATTGACATAGAGGTTAAATTAATGCTAAAATTCTGGAGCAGGCTAGTTATAAATACTTGCGAAGCTATAATTTCGCCGCATTTCCCCGAATTTAAATGAAACCTTTTTGCATGCCGTACAGGAGTTTTCCAAGGCGTTGTATAAAAAATCGAGCTAACAATTACGAATAAATTGGTACTTGTGTATGTACATATTTTTCCATTGATTGGTCCTTTGAAGAAATATTGGCAGCAAATTTCAATTTTATAGTGAATTTTCTGGTCATTTCCTCCCTGCAGTGAATACTAAGGCGCTCATACAAACTTTCCCCCCAAAATTTTTCTCGTGGACCGGCATTTAACGGAAGGATATGCAACATGTGTTGTAATTTTTGACTTATTTCTTGATGTGTAACTAGAGAATTCCTGTATAGCGATTTCTTAGAGAAAAGTATCTTTGTCGTTAGACTGTCGAAGACTTCTCCAGTTTCTAAAAAAACGCTCGCAATAAACGATTGTTGCTAGCAAATGACATAGTCTGAAGTAAATAAACAATAAATTGATGCTTTTGTTGGTAAACGGCCTGATGAGCTGTTAACTTTCCATTTAAACTGAGTTAGGAAGAAAATTAAATAAAAACTGAACTACCCGTTACCCGTGCGGGTAGCTTCAGATACCCGCATATAGCGGGTACCCGCAAGAATCGTGCGGGTATGCGGGTAACGGGTACCCGACCCGTTACCCGCGGCAACCCTACAAGACACCATGGGCAGCTATGTTCCCCGTTGAATTGATTGATTCCTTGCAGTTGACACCGAGCTACCGAATCGGCTGCCAGTAAGGGAGTAAGTATACACGACTGTATCTTTTCACATCTTTGAACATCCAATTTACGCCATTTCTTGATAATTCGATTGCTTGTTGGATAAAGGGTGCAAGAAAAATATCGAAATTTGGTTTTCATCTCCAAACCACAAACCAGCAAGTATTGTGAATTTTCTTCGCAGTTGATAACCCAGCTCGTTAATGGATATTAGTAGAGGCCAAATGCTGTGTTTTGAGCTATTGAATATGGAGACGCCATCCGTATTGATGCAGCAACTTATGTCGTTGTCCTTCAAACCGAGCCTGTGGTACATATCGCCATCTATGATATCTCGTATTTCGGACACCGCACCCATCTGTCTTCTAGTCAAATTTTCTGCCAAAGATTTCTGTATGGCTTGAATCTGTAGTAAATCTTGTAGGGACTTTTTGATGTCAAAGGAAACGAAAAAGTTACCCCTTGTCAAACACGTCGAGAAAGTAGTCGGAACTTGACATTTGCCACATTTAGAATCGTCCTCCTTTATTTCAACTTTGCAGTCTTTGCAGTAAGCTACCTTTTGAATTCGGCTGTAATCTCCTCCGACCTCTTTATCAAACAAATATGTGGACGTTGGAATAGTAACGCCATGAGGAACATGGTAATTGATTAAGTTTAGCAAGTCTGACAGTGCTGTCTTGGTAATTTTATGTCGAATTGAGTAACCCAGAATTAAGAGATTGCTTTCTTTCCGAGATATTCGTGCTCCTGTGTACAGTTCTTCAACTTCGACCTGCAAGTAATAATTATTTGCATGCCAGCATATTATAATAAAAGAAAACTTTCTAATTGTAAATTAAAGCTCACTTCATGTTCGCTGAATAAATCACTGGAATCGGAGTCATCCTCATTTGCGTCAGACGACTCGTTTCCAAAGTCCACCTCCGGTGGAATTTCAAATTCAGGAGGGCTATTGTTTTCCCGTACAGTATTCAAATAAGCCTGTAAAAATGAAAATATTTTACAAATTAAAGAAATTGTATTTACAGTTATTCATTGAAAAATTAAGTACCCTAGCAGTCCTCTTCCTGTGTCTTGTTCGTTGAGGAATATTTGATAAGGCTGCACTTCCCGAGCACGAGAAATATTTTTTGTAAGATTTTCTGCTTGACATTTCAGCATATTTGTTTTCAATAAAGCAAATTTTGAATATTTCTTCCGTGAACGGGGTAAGTGTGGAATGACGACAGCGCGGTATACCCAAGCCACAACATCGTGTTCTTATTTAGCTGGCTCCTTCACTCCGTCTATTTTTTTGAGTTGCCAAAATTAACTAACAGATAACTTCAAATTTCTGTCGAAATTAGAAATGACCTTCCTATTGGTAGAGTGGGTGTCACAAAAAGTTCCAAAAGAATATTCGGTAGTTCCGGCGGAAAGTATTGAGGATGGAGCTATTCGGCAAAATGCGAAGTCTCTAATAAACCAAATTGTGCGTATAATTTGGAAAAAAGGTAAAATTTTCCCTGCCGTAATTTTGGAAACAGGTGAGTTTTATCAATTTATTGTACAACTTTAATTATCGTGTCAAATGAAATCATTCATTACACCGCTTCATTTAATTAATCATAGGGGACGATGAAAAGCATCTCTGGGAACGGGCAGACTTCTACGGCGAAACAACAAAAGTTGGAGACATTTCGACAAATAAGCGAAGTCATGAAATTCTTGAAATGCCCGTGAAGAAAAAGGGTAACACGTCTTGCACTTGAGTTTCTAATCACCATTGAACCTTAATTAAGTGTCTATTTCTTCCTTAGGGAAGCAAGCCCGATTAGTAGCCGGTCGAGAACGAGCAGATGCCATCCAAGTCGTTCTTGACTCTCTAGAATCGGACCAAATTATTGACCTAAATCCTGACACAAATTCGTCCGTACAAACACCTAGTATCGTTGACGAGAAAGAAGGTCGGAACTTGGGCGAAGGAACGACAAACTTTGAGGGTGATTTAGTCATAACTTAAACGTTTTTATTATTTTTAATATTTGCAACATAATTTGCAACAGAAAAGTACCAGTCCTTGAAGGAGAAGCACAAATGGCTGAAGCAGAAATACAGAGAATTGAAGCGCAAATTTGATCAAAGTGATAATGTAAGCGATGTTTTATCATTCTAGATCTCTAAATAAGCTTGTATAAATATATTATCCTCCGTATTTTTATAAATATATACAGAACATCGAGCTTTTCGATGGATCAGGTGTAAGGATCGAGTCTTCTGTGCTGGCGTCTATGAGAGTGATCTCACCAAAACCTACGATACTTGCAAGAAATCTTTTTAGACAGCTATTCTCTGCTGAGGAGCTATCCAACCACTCATTGTTTGGGAAGCAATCCAATGCTAATCGCGGACGGGAGACGCTCCCGGAAATTGATAGTGTTCGCAGAGATGCCGTAATAAGTATGTCCACAAAATTGATTAAAATACATGATTGAAAATTCGATCCGTTTGCAAATAATTTTATATTGCAGATTTCATACTGAAAGACGAAGGCTTTGGTGAAGCGCCGGACACGGGTAACCCAACTGCTGACAAGGTCAGGTCAGCTGTCAAGGTCCAAAAATTTCACTTTACGCCAAAAATTTCACTTTACCCCAAAAATTGAACTTTACCCCAAAAATTTCATTTTACCCCAAAAATTTCATTTTACCCCAAAAATTTCATTTTACCCCAAAAATTTCACTTTACGCCAAAAATTTCACTTTACCCCAAAAATTGAACTTTACCCCAAAAATTTCATTTTACCCCAAAAATTTCATTTTACCCCAAAAATTTCATTTTACCCCAAAAATTTCACTTTACCCCAAAAAGTTCATCCTACCCCAAAAATTTCACAGTACCCCAAAAATTTCATCCTTTCCCAAAAATTTCACTTCACACCAAAAATTTCATTTTACCCCAAAAATTTCACTTTACCCCCAAAATTTCATTTTACCCCAAAAATTTCATTTTAGCCCAACAATTTCATTTTAGCCCAAAAATTTCATTTTACCCCAAAAATTTCACTTTACCCCAAAAAATTTACTTTACCCCACAAATTTCACCTTACCCCAAAAAATTTCATTTTTCTAAGTGGTGGCTATTAATGGGCCCTGAGATTATCTTAAATCATCAGATAAAAATGTCGTAATTTATCGGGAATTTAGGAAAAGGTAGCCTTCAAAGTGTCTTAATGAGCCTTTTTAGTCTGTAGCCTCTGACTAGAGCCTTTTTAGAGATTTTTTATCAATTTGTTACTATTGTTCAAAATAATTTTGTCATCTGACCCAACAACAGGCAACAACTTCAGGGCTCTTTGGATATGAACTAACCCCTAAAAGGATATTTTGATTAGAGGACCCAGCAGGGTAACCCATGCTGGTTTTTGAAATTGGTTAAAAAAGCGAAAATATTGCATGCTAGATTAAGGGAACGGATAGATGCAAGTAGTGGTTGGTACGGGTCATCTTATAAAATCTAGAAGTGAGCTATGACCTGACTATAAATTAAAATTTTGAGCGATAAATTAACGCTGCACATAGATTTGTCATGTAAACCAATGCCACTGGTTGGAGATTTTTATAGAATTTGTATCAACCGAATGGGTAGCGCAACAAGACACCCTGGATTAGACTCCAAAAATATGATATTAACCTAATCAAAATCGGTTAGGAAATGACTGAGTTGTGTTGTTTTCTCACTTTTTCGAGTTGAAATAAGGGCATACTTGCGTGTTTTTAATCATTGAGTTATTTGTGGTTTATAAATATATCTGTTTCTACGTTTCAACTAAAAAATGTTAAAATTTATTACCGGTTATATATTATATTAAGACATTTCTGAATTTTAAAATATTAAACTCCTGACAAATTAAGACATTTTCACCGGACGATTTAAGATAATCTCAAGGCTCATTAAATTTTACCCGTTTTCTAAGGTCAGGTAAAAACTATGGTTATATTTACACCTTACATAGTAGTTCCATGTGTTATGTGCAATGCAATTCGCTTGAAGATAAAGTTAGTTGGAGCTACTAAAGAGAGTTGTACTAAGTTTTTTGTAACCCAATGTGGCAAAATGGCAGTTCGGCAACGGCAAAAACATGTTGGGATTTTTGAGCAACATTTTGGTAAGCAAAAAATTCGTCATTTTTGAATTGCTTAATAGAAATCGGAATTGAACGCAAGGTGGTCAACCGTACCATAAAATGATACACTGACACTGACAGTGTTGATAACCTAAAAACAAGCAATGGCAAGAGAGGGCACCAAAATTCATGACCACGCGGAAAACTGAATTCGTCCGAATCCATGCCGGACCCAAAGAAAAATTCCCTCACAAATGAACCGATCAAGTAGAAGTAAGTCCCAAGCCCTTAAACTGAACCTTGGCCTTATATCTTCACGACATAAGGAGAAAAACTTCCTAGCTACACGCCAAGCAAAAACAGACCCATTAGAACCAGGGCGCAAATCATGCGGTACGCGCTTGAAAAACAGAATTGCTCAGCTTTAATCAGCCAGCCACACTTTTGTGATTGAGGCCAAATAAAATAGCAAAAGGACCGCGTTCATACTCCCCCAGTCCAGACTATTCATAAAAATTTCAAAAACGTTGATTGGATTTACAATCCTGCTTCTGTGATTTTTTTATTTGGCATAAGTTGGATTTGGTTGTAAATATGATTTTTCTTCCTCTGGAGGTGAACCATAGCGGCAAAAAATATTTGTTGAAGCTCTCGAGCGAATTGTGGAACCCCTGAACCACCTCCAATTCAAAAATATGCACTAGACATTCAAGTAGGGTTCAGGCCCTGGTCATTAGGGCAAAATAGTAAAGAGCTGGCTGGAATCGAAAGTTCTTGACTCGATTTCATATCAAGAAAAAAAACTGTCACTTCACTGTCACTGAACCTCGACCTTCTGGACTATGTCATATCTTCCAAACTGGAGCCAGATGCATCTGCTAAAATTTGTAAAGGTTTGAAACCCGAAAAAAATCCATTGTCTATAACTAGGACCATTATCTCCTGGATCGAGTGCGTACTGCGGGTGAGACGCGGACGCCAAGACTTTGGGCTAGTGTCGCTTCGAAAGGAGGAAATTTTGAAAACTAGTTGGCTTATTTTGGAGAGAATTTAATGGGCTTTCTCTTGAAGAGGAGATTGGTGGAAACTTAACCAATATCAAGTAACCCTTTGAACTCCTGGAATGCCATTTAGTAGAGGAAATCTCAATCAACAAGGCAGCCTAGTAACAAGAAAATTTGAGCAAGTAACGAAGACAAACAGCAGTCCAAGATGACGGATTACCAATTCCAGAAAAAGATCAGGTACAGCTTCTCTCTAAGACTCTGCAGATCTCCACTAGATTATGAAGAACTTATACTGTTGGGTAGCATATTAATCATGCATATTAAATTGCTGCTTTTTTATTATTATTAGAAATTAGAAATTGCTTTAAATCACTCTGCAATCTCTTCCTCGCATTGTGAGAGGAATAGTTGCATACTTTGTGTGTTAAACATAACACAGCTAACTTTCGGACTCTCATGCCACTCACTAAAACCAGTTTTTTGCTGATACATAGTTGCAGGTACGTCTTCACTCTGCATTATGTAAACCATGCAATATTATTGCAACTCTTTCTGATGCATGATGTTGCATTACTCTTTCAATGCAATAATGCACTTTCTCGAATTGTACATACATTATTATGCATTAAAATGCAGCTTTCCATTTCTTGGGATTATAATCTTTGTTGTCCAACACTGCAATCTTATGCACTTTCCATTTTACGTAATTATGTCCTCTTTGCTGGTGTTGGGATAATTTCGAAGTTAGTTGTAATTTGACGAGCAGCAAATGTACAGACTCATCTGAACGAGAACGGGACGAAGCAGCCCAAGTTACGTTTCAAACGGGACCAAGCAGTCCACAACACATTAATTCTTATTTTCCCTATTTTTATAAATACATTTTCAAGTGTAAAATAAATTCACTTTTTAACTTCAACCAATCAGTTACTTTTCATACACATAAATTTCATCTACAAACAAACATATACATAGGTGAGATTGCAAGGAAGGATGCTAGCAAGCAGAAAGAAGCAACTTATAAGTTTAGTTCCGCAAATGCAAATAGAAACTCAGTTATATTCAATTTGCAACAGTTAAAAATAAATACCTATTAAAGCACTAAATAGTTTAATAAAATTAATTTAGTAAATTTACACATTTAAAAACCTACGAAATTTTCAAACATTTATGAATGGCAATGAAAATAAAACACTTGAGTTTACATTAAGTTGTCAATATTCGACCCATTCTTAAATTTTTGATATTATGAACCACGAAATATTATGATAATTTAGTTAATAGTTGAAGTACAAATAAGATAAATACAAGTGAAGTAAATAAGTTTATGTATGTGTGTAAGCGCGAGGAGAAGAAGCCAGCCGGCTATGCCGAGTCAAGCTGAGTTGAAGTGGCAACTCCAGTTGCAGAATAAACCGAGAAAGCAATTGAGGTCCCAAATTTTTTCATCAGTGGTGCTGAATTGGACTGGAACATAGTTACATAATTTTTAAAACTTTTATCTCAAACGACGCTATCCATGTTGGGGTGTCACCTCCAGCAAGAGATTTGATGATGGCACGTCTCGTTTGGCCGCAGGAATTTTTTGAAAATTGTCAAAAGTATAGCCGAAATTGCCTAAATCTGCACACTAAAAAATATTTGTGATAATTTATTTAACAATCGTAATGTGTATTCCTTCCCTGCTGCTAGCATTAAACCGAATAAAGCCCGGTATATGGCTGAACGGTGAGAGACTTGACGATGAGGTCCAGCAGAAAAATTGTTAACTTTCGAATTTTCGTTAATAAGTACAACGAAATATTTTTTAGTGTGCAGATTTAGGCTATTTCGGCTATATTTTTGACGATTTTCAAAAAATTCCTGCGGCCAAACGAGACGTGCCATCATCAAATATCTTGCTGGAGGTGACACCCCAACATGGATAGCGTCGTTTGAGATATCTACGAAACCATAAATCATGTCGCGCACTGCGCCACAGGGTCGCAAACTGGGCGCAGAATGCAAAATTTCTGTGTTTAGAGGCCGATAACTTTGCTCTGGAGCGTCGTACGTTGGTGTAACTTATATGAATTTGGGTTATCTTTCAAAGATCTATCGAATGCAATAGTTTTCAAAGCCACACCCCCTCAAATGGAGATAACTCCTCCCCCAGGGGGTGTGGTTGTACTACAGTTATATAATTTGTGTCATCCGTCCCCAAACTACCTCATATGCATAAATAGCTCAAAAAAAGTCATAAAATAATTTATTCCATTTCCTACCATAAGGCGGCCCCATTGTGTACCTGTGGGACGAGTCAGAAGGAGAATTGGTCAGTTTTCGCCACGTGCCTAGTTAAATACATAGAAGAGAAATTTACCGATGACCTCCCAATCGTCATTTATAGCGATGGATGTACCAACCAAAACAGGAATGCTATGATGTCGACTGCATTATTGGATCACGCAATTAAAAATAATAAGACTATTACTCAAGAGTTCTTTGAAAAGAGTTCTTTGGGTCACACGCAAATGGAGGTCCATTCGGTCCACAGTGCCATCGAATGCAACTTGAAGAAAGAGCTAATTTATTTACCAGCTGACTACATTCGAGTTTGCGTCGAAGCAAGGACAAAACCATCTCCATACGACGTAGTATATTTTAACCCCGAATATTTTAGTGACTATTCTTGCAACGAGATGCAGCGGTATTCTAGCATATGACCTGGGTCAAAATCGGGGGATCCATTGTAACGGACATCCGGCAACTCAAGTACAACCCAGCCGGGACCATTGAATATAAGCTTTACTATCGATCGGATTGAGCAAACCTGCCAAGACACCCAAAACTTCTTGCGGAGATTATTTTCCCTGCGCTGTACGGATCGAGGTTAAAAATTCCCAAGCGGAAATATAACGACCTTCAGGATCTTCTACAAGTGACTCCGCAACAATTTCATGATTTCTACATTAATTTGCCTAGGCAGGCTTAATGGAACTTTTCAATGTCATTTAACTAAATCACAACCTCGAAACAATTGGTTTATGTATTACATAGATATGACTGGGATTTCAATCAAAGTACAATAAACTTGCTTAAATATGCATTTGTATTTCCATTTACAGTTTGATTTTGCATAAAAAATTACCACACCACTATTTTTGACGTCCACTTAAATCGTTTTACCATTTTTAACTTTGCATTATGATATTTCTTATATCTAGGGCTAATCCTATTAAGGTTTAACTTCAGCCACAGCACACTAACAGAGGGTGTTGTTTTAGAATTCCAAAGAATGAGTGTGGACCACCTACTAGACGTAACACAAACATGTACAAAAACATTTTTTGTTTTATTCATTGAATCGGTGGCACGGACCACACCCTCTGAGAGCTATTTTACATTTCGAATATTCTGCATGGATTGCCTCATCTGGCTGAGAAAAAAGATACCTTGCATGCCATATTTTGTTTAGTTTAATATAGGCGCCGAGGACCACGCCCACCGAGGGGGTGGCTTTAAGACTTCGAATATTCTATCGGAACTAGCCTCATGGGCCCAAATATTCATATTTCAGGTTGCAGTACCATTTTCATAAATTGCTAACTCGTTATAATTTTATAATTTCAGTTATCTCTTTTTACTAGTTTTTATTGTGCAGTTAGCTGGTTGTAAAATTAAGCGTTGACTGCACTTACAATGCGATGGTGTGAAGTGTAACCCTCCGATTTATCTTGAAATTATGTGATCCGTGTCAATACAATCAATGTTTCTTCAGGCAGTTTGTGCGATGGTTAAAATTTATCAAACTATTTGAGGTCAAAGTTAGAAAATATACGATTTTTAGGACGGGAAGAGAATGGAAGTTGAGTTTGCTCCCTCCGCCTGGTAAAAATCGCCCGTTTTCCAACTTTGACCTCAAATATTTTGACAAATTCTGACCATCGCACAAACTGCCTGAAGAAACGTTGGTTATATTGACTTGGACCACATAATTTCGAAATAGCAACCAAATCGGAGGGTTACACTTCACACCATCGCATTGTTAGATGTTTTTAGAATAAGTACGGCGATATCGCAAATTAACCTCTATAACTTGGTTTTCAATGATTTGTTTTTACTTTAAAAGAATGTTAAGTAATTTAACTATCCCGCGATAAGTAAATTAATTTTTGGGGTAAGATGAAATTTTTGGGGTAAAGTTCAATTTCTGGGGTAAAGTGAAATTTTTGGGGTAAAATGAAATTTTTGGGGTAAAGTGAAATTTTTGGGGTAAGATGAAATTTTTGGGGTAAAGTTCAATTTCTGGGGTAAAGTGAAATTTTTGGGGTAAAATGAAATTTTTGGGGTAAAGTGAAATTTTTGGGGTAAGATGAAATTTTTGGGGTAAAGTGAAATTTTTGGGATAAAATGAAATTTTTGGGGTGATTTGAAATTGTTCGGCTCGGCCACGGCCACGGCTGTCTTGCATCTCGGCCACGGCCACGGCTAACTTGCATCGGCCACGGCTACGGCTAAATTGCATCTCGGCCACGGCTAACTTGCAGCACATCAAAATCCGTGTGTCTCTCTTTGTCCTGTAGCCATCATTTGCATTTCAATACGGAAACAAAGGAATGCTCCTTTTTCCATGAAAAACCGTCTCAGCTCAGGTTGTATCCTTTAGTCAGTCCAGTATCGGCATTGTTCTTCTCAACCTTTAGAAATAAATTAAGCTTCATTTAAGCGAAATCTATTAAATAAATGTATAAAACCGTGTTTAACCCACGGACGTAATTTTCACATTAGAATAATTCTTTACGCTTTGTAAAGCATTTAAATTTCTTACACGCAATTGAAATGCTAATTGAACAGTGTATTGCATTGGTACATACATACGCAGAAAGCAGGAAAACAATGGTTAAACAATGCCGGGAATATATTATTTTTATAACAGGGAACGTGCATAAATTACGTCATGATTTTAGTTGGTGGGTGATTTTTGTAGGTCTTGATATCTTTCCCATGTTAAAATTCCACATATCCTTTAATGTTTGGTGGTTGCTAAAATGGAGAATTTTTGATGACGTAATATACGGATGGCCCCAGGTGACGAAGGTAATCCATTAACTTGGGTTAAGAATGCAATTAAAATTCTGACTAATTAAGTAATCCTAAAACTGTATAGCACAGTCATTAGTTCTGCGTCTGACTACTCGCTTAATCATCTCTCATGTTTTTAGAGTAGAGTGGGGGTGGAGAATGTCTTTAGAAACGATTTTATCCGATATGGAACGCAGTGCGAGGAGTAGTTGGTTTCAAAAGTTGAGACGGAATTTGAGAAATCTTTTCCTAATTTCGATAAATCCGAGAATAAACGGGGCAGCGGTGCGATATGGGCAAGCCGTTTTTAAAGAGAGGCAGCGGCAGATGGAAAAATATCCGAGAACTATTCATCCTTATAGTTGTTTCAGGTATGTATCTGTGCTTTTCTTATGAAAATGCAATTTTTGACGTCTACACTCCGGACAACACATGCTTCACAATACTTGCATGCTAAAGTTAAGTCGGAGCTTAGCCTCCTGGTGAAGTTTTTTGTAAAAAACTATAAAAAAATAAGGTTTTTTGGAATTTATTATTTTTACAAAAAAATACCGAAAAATTACTGCTACAAAAACTCAAAATAAAATATTACTATTTTGCGTATGCATTAATGTAACCTGGCAAATTTTTGTGGTAGCAAGTCACACGGTAATTTTTTGGGAAAATTGTAAAGGAGAAAAAAGTCTTAGCTTTAATGTTGGAAATGTTTGAGGTTTTGTTTACGAGAAAACTCACGAGGATAATTTCAGACATAGCTTTGGCATGTATTGTGAAGCATAAAACACGAGGAAACCTAGCTTGAATGACTCGCATTAAAGATCGGTCACGATGGTATCGGACTGACGAAATAAAATGCTCAGAACTTTTTACACAGTTAATGCAATTTCAAAAAAGTTGCATATGTTTACTACCAAAGGGTTTGGATTGCCATACAGTTAAAATTTTAATGATTCAATTCCGCTGTCTGCTACAGATTGCATTTTCTTCTTCCGATTTCGCGTCAAATTGCGCCCATAGACTGCACCTACTTTCAAGCTGATTTTCTTCCATCTGTTCTTAAATTTTCGTAAGATGTCTGGGGTTTCTGAAAGCTTAGAATATTTGGACTTAGTCAGCCCTCAGAATTTCTCAACTGGTCGCAATGGAGGAAAATATGGTGGGTTTTCATTTTTTGGCACAAATTCAATTTTTTTCAGATGAAAATACTAAGTGACCTTTTTGGCGTCATGGGACCTTGCGAGGTCAGGCCAAGAGAAAACTTTATTTTTTTATGATCTTTGGTAATAAACGATTTCAATCCCCCTTTAATGCATGATTTAAGATAAACCCCCTGGTTTACAGTACCCTCCAAAATGACGGGATCGGAAACATGACCAATTCTAGACTTGCCTTGCCAAATTCTTCATTTTTTTGTGAATTAGTCTTTCTGTTGGACTTTGTCTTCATATTTTACTTCACAAGGGTTGGAGCTATGGAAAAAATGCCTTCCTGGAAGATTTGAAGGGTCAGCTGTGACTTAGGGCTCATCGTCCATGATGACCACGTTTCCCCGAATTTTCTTCAACCATTTCTTGCATGATATATGAATCATTTCATTTTGTGTTGGTTTGTAATTTTGTGCTGGTTTTTTCCCCTGGCTATAATCCCTGGTTTATGGACTTCGATTTTGCTCAGATAGCTTTTTGAAATCTTGACCTTACTTTCCGCTGCAGCCATTGTCGTTGATGGATAATTTTTGAAGATTTTTTTATGCGATTTTTGGCTTTTGTCGTCGCTAGCTTTGCAGGTCGACCAGTGGGGACTTTGAATTTGAGTTCATTGGATTCCTCGTACTTTTTTTATGTAAGAGTTGACATTTGAATGAGGAATACCTTCTTGCTTGAAAAAGTGCCAAGTGATTTTAGAATCATACTTTGTTCGATTTTTGTGAAACTCAATCACTCTTTTTTCAACTCTTGCCTTTCAACCCAAGTTTTTCTAGTCTTAGCCATGACTCAATAATTGTTGGCATATATCGATGGAAAGCTTATACTTCGGTCTATTCAAAAATAATTTTTTCGAAATTTAATTTCGCTGTGTTCCCGCCTAGCGCACCCTTTACGGGGCAGTCCGATACCATCGTGACCGATCTTTAATTTTAAATTCAATTTTAAATGAAAATGCTCCAACTTTATTGTGATGAGGCTTACAGAGTTTCATTTACCCAAAATAATTAAAATGCGTATTTATTTCCAGATGGTATTGGGACATTCTGCTGACGATCGTTCTACTATTTTCACTAATCGAGAAACCAATCCAAATTGCCTTTTACGACATCGAGGAGGAGGGCTACTTCTGGGTGACGGTGATAAGTACGGTCACGTCCGCTCTCTCATTTTTAGACATCGCTTTCAATTTCTGCACCGGAGTTCCAGATGTCATGTCCGACACAATCATTTTGGAAAGGAGCATCATTTTCTCGTAAGTGGTAAAATATTAAGAAAAACTAGCATATAAGCCCGTCTACCGCCGGACGAAATGAGTAGGATTGTGCAAAATTTGCCACAATTATGTACATTTTTTAGTCCATATTATATGTAAGCTGAAACTGTCAAATTTTCATAGTATGCAAATTGTGGTAGAGTGCAATAGTTTTTCTGGAAAAAATAATTAAAGGGTTCAATAAAAATACAAAGCATATGCTTTGTATTTTTAAGTTATATTTTTGTACACATTGCTCAGGCAGAAAAGGGTATAATTAAGAAATACAAAAGTTAGTGATTGATCAGTTTATACAACAATTCTTAACTATTACGATTTATTTAATAAACCTCCAGATTCTAAACAATATAAATAAATATGTCATATTTTAAGGTTAATTAAATGATTAAGGCCTAAATAATTTTTCAAAAGAAATTATTTTTCACTTGACTTCAAAAATCGAATATTTACCTTACTTTTGCGTAGAAACCAAATCTAGCCTCGACGGACACCTAGAAATTTCCCTTGTTTGTTCTGTTTTTTTCAGAAAATACCTGAGATCTTGGTTCTTCGTGGATTTCTTCTCCAGCATCCCGTTCGACACGATATACTACATCTTGACATCCATCGAACACGTGCATCCTGAGCACAACCTGTTCTTCAAGTTCATCCGTCTCCTCGGCCTCCTGAAATTCTTCAGACTGATCAGAGTCGTCCAGTGTCTGAAAAGAATTGAGCAGGCGTTTCACATTTCAGAGCTTCGCATTCGTCTGATTAACCTTTTAGTCACGATAATAACGATCATCCACTGGATGTCCTGTTTCCACTGGTTGTCTGCGGACTTGTTCAATCCTCCCGAGAATCGAAAGGCAATGAGTTGGATAACCAAGACGAAGTTGTGGGATAAGCCGGTCTGGCTGTGCTATATCAATTCAGTGCTGAGGACGGTCTCTAATATGGTAATTGATCTTATTATCTACCTTACTTAAAACAAGCGAGTGTGTCGCTGCTGAGTGGCTTAGTTGAAAATTTAGCCTTTCATTTTCTCTCCATGAGTCAAGAGAAAAGGGAGGCTAACTTCGCTAATGTTAGGGTAACGGCAGGGTAAGGGCATTGCTTTTGAAAACCCATACCCATGCGTTGGGTTTTGATGGTAGTCGGGTTAGTCGGATTTGTGGGGGTAAACTGAGTCAGTGTCTCATATATTAAGTTTTGGAAACAATCGGGTTTTTTCCTCAATTTCGTAACAAAGCTGCGTACTAATTCAATTTCAATGACTGCGTAATTTGTATAATTGTTTGTCAAGCCCTGTTATCATACGTTATATAATTTGAAAACCCCGACTACCCGGGGGTATTTCTCCTATTTGCCACCCCAAAACCCCCCAAACTCGCAAAACCCTAATACCCCAAAAACCCATACCCTGCTTTGAGGCAAGAGAAAAAGCAGGCTAGTTTCCCTAATGCTAAGGTGACGGGTTAATCGACCGGCCGTGTGTGCCCCTCGATTGACGGGCTTCGACACTAGTAACTTATATAAATAAACCTAGGTCACATCCGGCTACGGTGGCGGAGAAACTCCCACCGAACCAGAGGACATTGTCATGACCTTGATAAGCATGGCCCTGGGTTGCACCTGTTTCGGCCTCTACATCGGAACAATGGGGAGCATTATGCAGAGGGTGAACGCATCCGGGAAGAAGTTTGACGAGATGATTCTCGAGGTTAATGAGTACATGAAATTCCGCAACATTCCTCCCCGGCTGCAGAAAAGGATGCTCCGCTACTACGAACAGCGATACCGAAAACATTACTTCGATGAGAATCAGATACTTGAAAATGTCTCGGATGTCTTGCGGAATGATTTATTGATGCACAATTGCAAACATTTGATTGAAAATGCGCCACTTTTTAGGGATCTACCAGACTCCTTTTTGAAGATGATAGTGCAAAAACTTACTTTTCAGGTGGGTAAGGCAAGGTGAGGGGCCGTTCATAAATTATGTAGCGCGAGTGGGTGGGCAGGGTGGGTCTGAGAGTTGCAAGAGGGGGTTGTGGAGGAGTGGTCAAAGTCACACGATGCGTCACGCAAACTAAATTATGCTAAAATCAGCAAATTAAGATGTAAGAAAATTAAATTCGTCCTTGCTGTCCAAAATTTTAATTAATCAGAACAAAAAATTGAATCAAAGGGTCAATCAAATCCCAATCAATGCTTACCTATACAATTGGGTAGTGGTATATGTGTGTGTGTTACCAGTTGAACTTAGCGCTGGAGTTCACATTGCCCCGGATTCATTTAACTTACCCTAATCCCGTCAAGACGGACCATTAAACTTGTCAATAAAGAAATGACAGCAGCATCAACTGTTCGAACTTTAATTTTGAATCTTTCTTTTTTGGTGGAAAATTAGACTTGCATTACAAAGTGGGAGGGTGGTCTTGGGTTTACATTAGTGTGGCAGAGGGGTGGGGGGAGTAGAACTGCAAAAAGTACTTGTAAAAAGTTGTCGATTTTTGGGTCACATAATTTATGAATGGCCCCTTAATTGTATTTTTTATTTTCATAATTAGTGATATGTGATTGTCTTTCTCAGGTGTATTTACCTGGGGACCTCATCATAGAGATTGGGAGTGATGGTCAGGGCATGTATTTTATTCAGGAGGGACAGGTAAACATCTTGTCGGGGGATGGACACCTAATTTCAACCCTGGATGGTGGGGACTACTTCGGAGAAGGCTCGCTAATTTTAGACAATCAAAAAACGAATGCCAACGTGACTGCGAAAGACTACTGCGACATTTATCGTCTGGATAGGGAAGATTTCATGGAAGTTTTTGTCAAACATCCAGAAACATTGGCGAAGATTAAGATTGTGAGTGGGAATAAAAATTGGGAAAATGTGCTACGCTAGGTTAATTAATTTGCTTAATTAATTTCAGTTGGCTCAATCAAGGCGAGCCGAGACGGACATGAAGACGAATGTTTCCAAAAGCTTGGTTTTCTCGGAGTAGTTTTTTTAAAATTATTTAAATATTCTTAAAACATTTAATGTGTACGCATTTCACATGTAATTGTCCCCATCACATGACGATGAGTCTGAACGCAAAAGAATAAAATTACGTGCAAATTTTTGCTCTTGTAGTAAAATTGAACGGATATGTAATCAATAGGGGCCGTGCATATATTATGTAATCAAAAATTGGCGATTTTAACATGAAACCGTTAAAAGTATTTGTACATTAACGAATATGGAAGTTTAACACTGGAATGACAGCAAGACGAAAACCACCAACTTAATAAAATGATGACGTAATGTATGCACGTTCCCATTTATGAATCACCTCTTAATAAAAATTTGTGCACTTTCAACAATAGAAACTGGTCCACCGAGTAGAGTTCAAAGAAAAGAATCTCATTAAATTTCAAGTCCATTCACAACCTAATTAGAATGCTAATTAGGAAATTAAATTAAGTCTACGGCGTCGTTAAAATCAGTGTTTATGAATTCTATTGTCAGAAACGGAGAGTACGTAGAACTGTTCATTTTACTTTAAGGTGCCAATTTTTTTGCAAGTACAGATTCACTTTTGAATAAAATTTAAAAATGAGAGAGAAATACGAATTGGACAATTTTTACAATCGGAATTTTTCTACGGTGTTGCGGGGCTACTTTCTCGCCTCGTTAAACAAGCGGATTTACCCGAGAGGGGCGAGATACACGAAAAGAGTGTTGAAAGAGAGGGAGCAACATTGCAAAAACCATCCTTGGACTATTCATCCATTCAGTGTTGCCAGGTATGTAAATGGTATAACCTGAATTTGAATAACATTTTTTACCTAGAGTGGCCATATTTTTCCGGACTAAAACCGGGATATTTTTGGCAAAAAAATGTATCTAGAAAATTAATGTTTGACGAAAGAATTGTCCATAATTTTTTTCAAAGACTTTTATGAAAAGCGGGATATTTTCGGGGGACCGGGATTACCCCGACAAAAATTAAATTAGGTATCTTACTTTTTTGCCAAAATACGTTTTGTATAAAAGTGAAGATTTTAGCACACAAATATCAAGAATGTGTTGGTAATGTTTACTTGATTCCATTTCCTGATTCTCTCTCAAAATTCGGTGATATTTGAATGACTAAGAACTATATTTTTTGGATAATCTTGTCACCAAGCAGTAGATATGATACATAATATTTTGCCAAAAATATCTCGGTTTTTAGTCTCCACCAATATGGTCACCCTAGCCGGGACAGGTGTCGAAAAGCCGGGACCCATGGTCACCTTATCATAGTCTTGCCTACTAATAATCACCTTCTTTTTCCTTATCGTAGATGGTACTGGGACATTCTTTTCATCCTGATTCTTATCTTCTCACTGATCGAGAACCCTCTCCAAATCGCCTTCTACCAAGCAAACAACCCTTACTACACGTTATTCATGGTCTTCAGCATCACCGAGTCAACTGCATACTTTCTGGACATTGTTGTCAATTTTTACACCGGATTTCCCGACCCAACTTCTGATCTGGTTATTCTGGAAAAGAGAACTATTGCCAAGTTCGTACTTACAATTCGATCACGCCAGCGGTCTCCCTCCGATTTTGACGAAACCACGATAATTTTGTAGCATTAGACAGAGCTGGGACAATCCAGATTAGGGATTGGTGGATTGGTAATCCGGATTAGGGATTAGTCAATCCATAATCCCTAATCCAAGCTTTGAAAATATTGAAAATAATCCACCAATCCCCAATCCCGAAAAAAAATCATTCAAATCAATCCCCAATCCAACAAAAATTTCCAAGCTAATCCCCAAGCTGGATTGGTCATAGATCTTGGATTAGTTTTAAATTGTTTTTCACCTGCGCGTTTCAAATTTCCCTTAAAATTACCCAGTGCATTTGACTTTTTAAAATTTTTTACACAAACAGAACCGGTTAACTACTTAATGTGTTGTTATTGCAGCTCTAAAATGATTTAAACTGGTTTAAAATAGTTGTCTTTTACTTCATTTCTTGACGTGAAATGATAAAAACATTGTTAAAAATGAATTAGAAAACAAAACATTTACAAAAAATCCTGAAACTTGAAATTAATTGGTTAATCCATACTGCTATATTTTTGCATAAAAATTAACCTCTTTGTCTGACGAACTGGTTAATGTGCAGTTGTAATAATATGATAATTTAACATTAATGTGTTTAACAAATTTTCTTTTAATTTTTCATTCCCTTTACTTTCTTTTGTATAGGGTGAAATCATAAAAAAATGTTAAACAAATTTATTAAGCAAAATAACATTGAAAAATAATCCCCAATCCTGATACTAATCCAGATTGGCCAATCCAAATCCCCAATCCAAATAAATTTTGTAAAGTAATCTCATCCGAAACCAATCCAATCCCCGAATCCATGCTTAATTCTAATCCCCAATCTAATCCAAAAATTTTGGTGACCAATCCCCAATCCGTAATCCGAGCAAAAAATCAACTAATCTCCCAGCTCTGGCATTAGATAAATAAGTAAACACGTACGTGTTTCAGGATTTTTCATAATGCTAAGGTTTAAACGAAGTTATGACGGGAAACGTGAACGAGAATTTCCATTTTCACCGGAGTTTCTCGAAATTACGGATGCCACCATAATTTCGTTTCAACTGAGCATTATGAAAAATCTTCGAACACGTGTTTAGCTATTTCTCTAAATTTACATAAATATCGTGGCGTCGTCAAAATCGGAACGAGACCGCTGGCGTCATCGAATTGTTAGAAAGTTGATTTCCTCCTGAAAATATAACCATTTCTAACTTTAACTTTAGAAATTACGTCAAATTTTGGTTCTGGATCGACCTCCTTTCCAGCATTCCTTACGACACGTTGTACTTCTTTGTATCCAGTCTACCAAACCATGAAACATATTTTAACGTACTGAGAATTCTTAGCATTCTAAAAATCCTTCGAATATTTCGTGTCTCTCTGGGAGTTCGAAGAATCCAGTGTGCCTTCGAGATCACCGAGATCTACACGCGACTCCTTAACTACATTTTGACCGTGTTAATCGTGGCGCATTGGTTGACGTGTCTGCAGTGGCTGGCTGCAGATTTCTACAATCCTCCCGGACATCGCAAGCCCTTGAGCTGGATCACCAAGTCAAACATGTGGGACCAACCGGTCTGGTTTTGTTATATCAATTGCGCGTTGCGAGCTCATTCGAACATGGTAACTGTAGTGTAAATCTTAAGGTGGTATGGTATCCGGGTAATGAGTAGGGCTGACAAATCCGGATACTCCGAATTCGAAAAATCCGGATTTTTCGGATTTCGGATACTTCGAAATCCGGATTTCATTTAGTAATGAATCCGGATTTCCGGAACTTAAAGAGTCATATTTATTTACGATGTAAAGATACAAATCTTTGCGAAAAGTGTGAATTTAATAAAAATTAGCAATATATTCATTCCAAATATAGTCTGTTTATCATATTCGACAGCAAACTCACTTTTTTGAAATTCTACATTTTTTCAGTTCATGAACTGAGAAAAATGCCCAGAAATTACGTGCATCGTCAGAAAATTTTCTGAAATATTGAAACTTCTAAAAAAGCTGAGATTGCAATTGAAATTAATAATTCTACTATCTGACGTCTATCTTATTGGTTCAAATATCAAGGAAATAAATGATAACGATGAATAATTCAAATCCGGATTTAAATCCGGATTTGGGTCCCAAGAAAAATGGACAATCCGAAATCCGGATTTGAAAATTCGGAACGGATTTGTCAGCCCTAGTAATGAGTTAGAATTGTTGTGCCTTAACTTTCCCTTCAACATGTTCAAACTACAATTTTGAAACCTATTCATCTCCGTGGATTTTCTACAATATAATGATTTTAATGCAAGTAAAAATCAATAATTTTTAAGTTTACAAAGTCAAGAATGTAGAATTCTGATTTTTTTCTTCTACGAGAAAATAAATATAAAATAGATACAAAATACATAATGCGCAAAAACTAGATATTTTCTCATTGAAGAAAAAATCGAAATTCTACACTCGTAACTTTGTAAACCTAAAAATCATCGATTTTAAAATCTTCATATTGTTAAGAACTCAGAGAGCAGTGAATAGGTTTCAAAATCACTATTTGAATATATGGAAGAAGGGAAAGTTGAGACACAACAATCCGAACTCACAACCCGCATACAATGAGACCTTAACTTCAAATTTTGCCAATAAGCAAAAAATAATTTTTTTAAATTTTTTTAATTAAAAAATAATAATTTATTATTTTTTAAATTTTTTAAAAATTTTTTTAAATTTTTTTTTGATATTTTATTAGCTTGGAAACGGTTACGGCATTGGGGAATGTCCCGTCGAGCCGGAGGACATAATCGTATTCATTTTCTGTTCCTTAATCGGCTTCTCATTCTATGGAACGTACATCAGCATTTTGGGCAGTGTCGTGGAAGCTCTAGATTCTCCGGAGAAAACTTGGATGGAAATGATGACAGAGACGAAGGGCTACATGCGATTTGCCGCAATCCGGCCGAAACTTCGGGGCAGAATGAAACTCTACTATGAACAAAGATATAGGAGAAAGTTCTTCCATGAGGGGGACATTCTTCAAAGTGTGAATGATGTCTTAAGAAATGAAGTACTCATGTTTAATTGTAGGCATTTGTTGGAGAATGCGCCCATTTTTAGAGAAGTGCCAACCGCATTTTTGAAAAGGATTGTTCAAAAACTTCGATTTGAGGTAGGAATTTGAAAATATTTGAGAAACAAATAACAATGATTTTTTTGTGGAGTGGTTTAGGGGACGTCCATAAATTATGTAATGCAGGAGTGGGGTCTATGCCTTTAATGATATGTTACAAATGTTTATGGGGGAGGGAGGGTCTGGAAAATAACGATTTTTGCTTCACGTAATTTATGGATGGTCCCTTAAACGTCACGCTACAATTGAACATTTTTGAATGGGAAAAGCCCTAAATCTCCATTAGTTACAAGATTTAAAAGTGTCATTAATTATTATTCAAACAGTTCGAACACTGAGAAGAAAATTCTCAAAATGTTAAATTTTAGAGGCAAAATTTTTAATGGAAACTAATGGAAATTTACGAATTTTTCCCATTGCATTTTTTCTTGTGTAACATTTAGACCCTATAAATATGTCTATTTTCAGGTTTATTTGCCAGAAGATAAAATAATTACATATGGTGAAGAGGGTCGATCCATGTATTTCATAAATGAGGGGAAGGTCCTGGCGACGACGGCGAATGGAGAGTTTATTTCCTTAATGGAGGCCGGGGACCATTTTGGAGAGGCCTCAATTGTCAATGACAATCAGAAGACGAATGCAAACATAAGGGCGAAAGACTTCTGTGACATTTATCGCCTCGATAGAGAGGACTTTAAGGAGCTTTTCTGCAATCATCCCGAAATTCTGGAAAGGATTAAATCGGTAGGATTATTTTTTTGGTTGTTACTTATTTACCTACAATTTGGTAAACTTTTTATTTTTTTTTTATTTATGTATTTTTTAACTAGATTGCGAGAATGAGGAAAGGAGAGCGAGGCGGAGGAAATCTCAAAATGGATTAGATTGAAAATGAATAAATTATGTAGCTTAAAATTATTGAGGCATTTAGCCTAACCGAACTGAGTCAATAAATATGATACCCTTCTAATTGGGACTAGGTGCAAATATAGTGTTCTTATTACTCTTGTGTTTGATTTTTAACGTTACTTTAAATTTCTAATTTGGACTTTAACATGACACCATGCAGCTGGATAAGGACATGGCTAAAATAAGTAAAAACAAAATGCAACCAGCATTTTGGCGTTCAATACCTTTTTCTAAATATTTTGTTTCGAGGTCGATATTTGTCACGAAATTGTTTTAACGCTATCACAAGGTCTAAGGTGGCAATCCAGGATATCTAAATAATTTACCATCATTGTTGTGTCTTAACATATACCCCTCGCGTTCATTCATATCAAAATGTGTTGTCGTGTTCTACAATTATGAATCAGAAAAAGTGTTCTTTAGTTAAACGAAAATTATGAAAACAACTTATACATGTAGCAAGAAACCTGCGTGACTTTAACACTAATAAATTATTAATAAAATATATGTACCTTGGTTCAGTTTTTGATTAGAATTTTGTTTGTTGACGTGGACTTTTGTACACATGAACAGAATGCTGACTTAGAATACATTCATGCTTAATTACTATGGAAACATTGAACATGAGAATAATATAAAGACAGACGAAAAAAATGTTTTGAATACTATTTTAAAATTCTGAAACATTTGTGAAAGAATAAGTGAAAACATGTTAACCAAATTTATACAATATTTTTTACACTATACATTCCTGTTCTGCCAATTTCAAGCACAAGTTTTACCACCGTACCTGGATTATATTTCAAATAGTTCAGTTCTTCATATTTTCATTGACCTGGTCAAAGTAGATCACAGTTTGGTTGAGCAAGATCTACTTGACAACCTACTTGATGACCATACCCGTCCGAAACTAATTTTCAACGTGCCCAATCTGATCCTTGGTCAGATCAAATATTACCAAAATTGTTACCACTATGCATACACTGATCCCAAATTGACCCGAAGATTCGATCAGAAAATGATTTATTTCATAATTCCCGCCATCTCAAAATGGCTTGATGCAAGGAATCTTTATCAAGTCCAATTGAGTCTGTCATCTTGCGGAGATAATCCAGACAGTGTGTTTCTAGTTGATACGGATGTTACGGGTAAGTCACCGATTTCACTGACATCGTACCCCTTAGTAAAGTGGACAGCTAAATTGTTCGTGATTAACCCTGCTCAACTCGAAACGTTTGTAATCTGTCACTCATGTGGAAGCTATCCCCCCGTCATGTAGAAAACAATGCCCAAAATTTGATTAGAGAATGGGAATTTTACAATCTGAACTTAAACGGGATGCTAATCTTGAGCAGTCATGCCTTCTCGACAGAGATGGTTACCTGCAGCAGCCTCTATTACTCAGGTAGATCGTACCCATGGTTAGCAGTCTGTCTGCATCTCACTTTAAAAAAATTGCTGAATTTTACCGATTCCAAACTCGACGATGGATCCGACTTAACTCCGGAAGACCCTAAAATATTTTACAATCTAATTTTGCCCTCGTTTTGTGTGGATCATTTTATTTTAAGTAATTCGTCATGGAGGAAGTCGGTATTTGTTTACACCATCAAAATAATTCAAACCAAAGTAACAGCCATCTCGGTCAAGTCGTCGTCTTTTGTAGATTCGTTTGAAACTTTCCTTCTTCCTTTTGACACACCCACGTGGATAGGGTTACTACTTTCAAGTGTAGCAATAGCTTTAATAGTAGCATCTCCAAAACTGCTGGAAGAATCTCTGAAAAGTGGAGTAAATAGTTTTAGCAAAGCTTTATTTTGGACATACGCCTGTCTCAGCGGGCAGTTTTCTGGTACCGGTGGGATCATGCGGATGCTGCCGAACTCAAATCCATTTATTTGTATTTCAGTCTGCTTCTTCTTCATGATAGGGTCAGAATTTTATCAAGGCTCACTATTGTCCTCCTTAATCACAAGAGCGCCTCCGCATCTACCCAAATCTAACCAAGAGGTGGTTGATTTGAACTTGGAAGTCATTACAACCGGTGTTGCTGGAGCAAAGATGAAAACTTCGATGGTTGTAGACGGCATGATTCCGGACAAAATGGGAAGAATTGATAAAGATTCTAATTTATACAAAATGTTGATCCAATTAAAGAACAGGACCATTTTAATACCCAGCTATTATCAGTTCGAGCTTGGAATGAATATTTCAGATTCGTTCGAATATGAGTTTAACGGTAGCAAGAGAAAACTTAAAGAAACTTTTGCAATTTTCGATAATGATCAAAATGTTGACGATTTTGTTGAAGGGTTGCGAACTAAAAAGAATTTGAGGGTTAAGACATTAGATGGACTAGGGTTATTTTATATTAATCCTATCGTGATGGACCGAACGTGGTTGTTTCCCCTATTTTCGCGAGGTTTAGGGCGAATCTGCCAGTCTGGTTTGTATGACCGGTGGAGAAAGTATGATAGATTGGGAGGGTTACGAGGGTATGTCAAAAGCCAACCGAGGAGGCGATTATTTCAGAAGGTTAGACACCAAATTATTTCCCAGGCGGTGGCGAGAGAAATAACTTTTGAGGAGGCAAATCAAGTTTCTGCGCTTGCATTAAGGCATGTGTTACAGTTGTATTTTATGTTAATCCTTGCGGGTAATTTTTTATTTATTTTAGAGTGCTCAATTCATGCTAGACATAAAGTTCGCATCCTGGGTGTAAAAGTTGTTAAGTTAATTCATAATTCAGTAGTATTAATTTTCAACGTTGGTTATGAAGTGGGGTTAAAATGTCGTATGTGGTAAGGAATAGATTTCCAGCATGTAGTGTATAAATATGAGCTTTCATGTTTGTTATCAAAGCAAAAGTTTCTTACTTTTGGCATTTACACAAGGATTTGACAGATTTCGGTTAACCTGTAGGGTATGTAACTTACAATGGTAAACCTATGGTCTCAAACATTAACCAAACTGTTATCGATGGATCATAAATTAAAATTTGAAGGATAAAGTAATAAATGCAATGGCGTGTGCATATAGACTGGAACATCCTCGCAGAAACTAGTGCAATGGATTTATTCACTGGCGTAGAAAATAATTATCACTATTATCATTCCATTTGATGATTCTAAAAATGTAATTACATTAAATTGGTATGTATAATTCAATTCCAATTATTCACAATGTTTAGCACAATTCTGTTAAGGCATCACGTCATTACGGGAAAAACGTGGTTCTCACGTTATGAATAAATTTATAAAAATTAGTCTTCAGTTTAACTTTCGTCATTAAAACTATCATTTTCAAAATTCTCCAGAATTCAGCAACCATAGCAAACAGCGCTATTGCCAAAGAACAACCACTTAAAATAAACAGCGTTATAAGTGCACTACCCCATCCCAATGGAAGATCGTCTCGTGCCGGTTTCTCCAATTTTGAACGATGCATGCTAATCCTCCTCATTCGTCCCTCATAATCCAGCCGTCCCTGAATTCCACTCTCTACTAAAGACTTTAAATACTTGGGGACTCGAGACTGCCCTTCACCCTCAAAAGTCCACCCAAATGGTGCCAAGCTCAAGGTGTCTTTACTTTTGTGGAATTTGATTCGAGGGAATTTCTTAGTTAAATATTCTATATCGGCAACACTATCAGACGATTCGATTATTAAGACGGATTTATCGCACTTTTAATTTCCTCTTCAGTTAGCAGCAAAGTTTGAGATAGCTGGGGCATTAAGGGACTGTACAAAGGCGTAACACCAAAGCCTCGTGGGACCTTGGCATATTTCGGGTTTCCTAGGAGAAGGATGATTACGGTTTCTAAGGATAGATGAGAACCATCCTCTTCAAGTAAGACGGACAAATATGTCTGGCTCAACAACTCTAAAAATACAAATCGATAATCGTTATTCGAAATCGTGGATAATATTATGAAGCAGGAGGTTGATCTTCTATCCGTGAAGGTATGAATAGACTGAGCAAGTGTAACCTTTGCAGTATTAAGCCAAGATGTTACATTTTTTCCATCGCCATACGCTTTGATGATTTTCGCATCTTCATCATCACAAAGCAAATCCTGAAACTTTTCAGGAATATTTCCATGCGGAAATGGTGAATTTAGATATGAGATCATCAATCCATTGTAGCAATTTGTTAAAATTATAGACATTAAGATCCAGCCTCCCAACACTAGGCGAAAAAGGTTTTGCTGCTCAGCCTTACGCGGTATGTGACTTGATTCTTCAAAAATGTTTGCTAAAACGTAAAGATATGGACAAAAATTGTCGCCAGAAGAAGCCTCATAATACTTTTGATACATTCGCGGCGTCAGCAGAAGGACTAAAATTATTCCGCCTAATGCGCCCCATACTTCAGGTTGGAAAGGGATTATGTAAAATCGGAATGAAACGAATGATTCTGAGTGACAAGTTAAAAACTGATATCCATTAAATTTGAATACTACTCTCGTTCTTACCCCATAATTGTTATGCTCCAAATTCATCCTCCCAAGACTCATGCATGCAACGGGGGGCTTGTACATGTCAAGCGTCTGCTTATACCGGCTTGGAAAAACGTAAAAACTAGTGTTGGCTTTACTAAAAACTGTGTGAAGAATGTGATGATATATTGAAAAATTTCTTGTTCGATCGAATGGGTTTGAATTTACTAGCTCCACGGTGACATCAAATTCTGTTGTTTGGTCAGAAACAATATCCATATTGTCCACGTCTTCAAACCTCCAGGATTTAGGATAAGAGATTAATTTGTTAAAAAGATATAAAATATTTCTTTCTACTGGTTCACACTGCATCGTGGAATATCGATACGATACAATTCCTGAGGGTTGAACACATAAAATATGAGATTTGTTTTCATTTGAATACAAAATTCCAAAATTGTCGAAAATAGGTGATCTCCCTGTTTTGCGAAATCTCCTTGGATACATAGAATATTTCTCAAGTTCTGATTTTCCAATAGTTGATATAAGAATTTTTCCAACATTTTTATACTGATAGCTAAATCCGGAGTAGTCCTTGTGGCTGTAACGATAATCTGATAGAAACAATAACCAACTTTC